AAAGAAGAGATTAAAGACCAGAAATGCTTTTGGCACAATAATAAGCTAATCTAGACACAAAACTATTCTAATAAATAAACATCATTACTTAACTGACAATGTTTTAAGGAATATTGTCAATAAACAGTGGTTGAAAATAATAATGAGTATAGAACTAAATCCACTGGAAAACAGAAGAAAGCACCAGTGTCTTGGCAGCACAGGAAACAGCCCCTGAGAAGACAGCCCAGGGGAAAGCCCAGCAAGACACATGATGCTCAGTGCTGATGACAGCAATTTGTGGGGGAACCAGTGGAAACTTTAAGTCAGACTTCGAGCAGCAGAAGGAAGAGGAGAACCATTAGATGTGGCACAGGAAATGCTCCAGAGAGTCAGGGAGAACTCTGAGTGCCAGAGTTTGGCCAGGAGCAGCAGGAAGAGCTGCTGGGCTGGGGAAGGCCGCAGCCCTGAGGTCCCTGCAGCACAGCAACTCAGCATTTTAACTCTCATGACTGGGCCATAGAAGGTTTGGGCTGGGAGCTTCAAGCTCATCCCATCCCACCCCTGCCCTGGGCAGGGACACCCCCCACCAGCCCAGGCTGCTCCAAGCCCCATCCAGCCTGGCCTTGAGCACTCCCAGGGATGGAGCAGCCACAGCTGCTCTGGGAAATCCATTCCAATACCTCCGCACCTCACAGGGAGGAATTCCTGCCCAATATCCATCTAACCCTGCTCTCCTTCAGCTTCAGGTCATTGCCCCCAGGTTGTGTCACTCTCTGCCTGTACAAGAAGTCCCTCTGCCTCCTTTCATAAGCTTTGAACTTTCTAATACTTCCCCCTCGAAAACAAGGGTTTGTGCAATAGTTGTTTCTTGCTAAAGGACAGCAGACAAGGCACATGTCACTGTCAGGGAGACAAAACCTCATCCTGCTGCTTCACCTCTCTTATTTCCTCATTCCTACTTTAGGCCCTGCCAGGCCAGAATGTCACTTTTCATCAAATCACTTAGATTCAAACTTGCTTGCCCCAGGCTTCAGCTACAGCTGGTGCAACTCACCTGAGCAGCTGAGCCTGGTGGAGACCTGTGCAGGGCCTTGGGATCATAGTATAGAATCAACCAGGTTGGAAAAGACCTCCAAGATCAAGTCCAAACCTACTGTGGTCACTAGTCCATGGCACTAAGTGCCACATTCAGTCTCAGCT